CCTAATATAAGTTTACTGAGTTCCGTTAGCACAGTTGCCGAAGCGAGAGAATACATTCACAGACGATCTTTGATGTACATTTGTAAGCACTCAGTGCTTTCAGCGCTGCTTCACTATCAGTAAAAATACAAATATTTACACGTTAGGACCACCAGTTTCCCAATCCGAACGTGTCGTTTCACATACGTTGAAGGGAATTTCATAGTTGTCCTCTGGTTTCAACCAGTCTCCATTCATACTCATCGCTGGTCCCCTTTGGAAGTATTGTAAGATGCTTAGATGACCAACAAGATCACCTGGCATGACTTTTTTTAGATATTTTGAGCCTTAGAGCACTTCTTTCCGCTTCTAGTTGAACATGTTCATGCAAGGGCAGCAGATTGAGGATTGCTTCTAATGTTTTTGATGGGGTGCTACGCACCGCACCCGTTATTGCAATGCATGCTAGCAATGCATGCTAGTAGTTTCCTCTGTTTGGCCACCACACTAAAGAAGCATACGCTTCTTTCGGACGGATTATTGATGTGTAAATCCACATTGTCATTGTTGGTTTCAAACCCCACTTTCTTCCAACAGTTTGTAGCATGCCCACAGGGCACTGGTTGCTTTGTTAATCACAGAATCAAGCTGAGCAACTTGGCGTCCAAAATAACTCCTAGGTATTTGACCTGTTCACTAAGATCTGCTCTCCTCCTTAAATTGAATTCTTTTAGGTTAATCTTCCTCTTTCTAGTAAAGGGGATGATTACGATTTTGATGGATTAATACTTAGGCCCTCTTTAATGCACCAAAACTGGGTAAACTTTAAACTTTTTTTTTCAGAAATGATAACGTCAAACTATAATGACTACGTCATCCGCAAAGCCCACAACTTCGAAACCTTTTGCTTCCAGGCTTTTTAGAAGATCATCTACAACTAAAGACCACAGCAGTGGTGAGAGAACTCCTCCTTGAGGACCACCTTTCTGAGCCTTTACTGTTATAGATGAGCTACCCAGCCCAGAAGTGATTTCCTTTTTTGATATATGAGGCGCATCGTCAACTGGATTCAGACTATTGTATTCTCTTGTTTACACATCTGTTTTCAACTTTCATATTATGTGTTGGTAAAGTATCTAAAAATCCTTAAAATTACAAAAAAAAAACTCTATTATTTTCCCTCACGCGTAAGTCATGAGTTCAAATCTAACCGGGATATGTCACGAATAATTCAAGAGTGTTAAAGTGACAATACAAAAAATAAATATCTGAACTCCAGGTATTTTGGAAAACCTAATAACCCAATCCAATTACCCATTCCATCATTAAGTCGAATCATCGTATCCTTGTTGAGTCTGCAGAACTTCAAGAACAGATATCCGGGTGATTTGGATAATCGTTGGACGTTATTTTTAATCACAATTTTTAATTTTAAATAATGGTATGAGTCTCCGAGAATCACAAAGTGGAAATCGAACAAGATTATCCTGTAAAACATATCCAGGACAATTTGGAGAATGAAGGTGTGTCATCCTCCACCCTGAACAAATAGAATTGCGAATAATTTGATCAAAGCTAATGCTCCGTAATGTTGCCCTTTATGTTGTGAAGATCAGTACTTTAAAAAGGATAACTTTTGAGGCAAGACAAAGTGTGCCAAGGGGGTGGTCACTCCGCACAGTGTGCCAATAATACAATTGGGCACTCACATTGGCACTGTTTGGCACCCATGGTTATAGATATTCTTGATCTTTAGTGCTACTGGCAACTCTGTACTATATCTGCACCTGCGTTGCACATGTGTCAACATTTTAATCATTGTTGTTGATACAATCCAATTTTTGGTTTCATAACTGCAACCCCCAATTTCCGGCCAAATTCTGCTATGGATTCCTCAACAGCGTACATACTAATGTCTGTCCGAAGCAGTAAATCATTTGTATCGGTATTATCCTTTCGCTTTTCAAAGGGGAAAAGGGGGGTGCTTTATTAAGGTTCGTATATTAAAAAAATAGCAGTGCCCTCAACCTCAACTACTACTCCATATTGTTTCGATTTGACCAATCTGAAAAAAATTTAGGCTAGTTTTAGTTAGCTTATATTAATTGGGTGGCTTTCGATGACTGTTGCTCCACCGGGAATATGAACGTTCCGGTGGTACTGGTAGTGACGGTCGCTGAAGACGCCAGTGACGACTACTGGGTGGTGGTGAGAGTGGCATCATCAGTAAAAACAACAGCATCGGGAAACGAATTTGGCAGTATTCATCTGCTCACCGCTAAAGTAACCAGCCTTAAGTAGCAGGAACATTTTCGTCGCATTCTCAACACAACTGCTTCATTTCGTTTCTTGTCATCCAGTTGGTACATGACGTTGGTCACCTCAACCCGTGCATTCGTGTTGTCCCGGTCAGGTGGTTGGCATCGATGTGAATGTGTGAACCCGTTCCAGCGGTTGTAGATTTCGGATGCCATCAGATGCGTTTGGATAATGTCTTTGCCGTGCTCGTTGTCCAGCGAATGTAGAAACTCGAGCACGTTCTTAAGGAGACCCTCCGGTTTGACCTTTTTGTCCGGTATCTGCTTATCTGTTTGCCTCTGGAACATCGTCTTGGTTAGAATGGTTAGGATCTGGGATAGGATTCCATTGCTCGTTGTTTTGTTTCTTCAAAACAAAACATTTGAACTGTCAAATTAACCGGGTTGCCATACCAAAAAAAATCAGTCTGATGATGACTGACACTCTCGGCATTGCTGGCACAGCTGTGGCACAAGTGAGGCACACTAAGAAAAAGTTTGCGCAAAATAAGTGTGTAGAGTTAACAAATGTACTAATGTTCACAACAGGTACAGCAAAACATCACATAGACGCCCTTATTCGCACTATATATATAGGGATCAGGGGTCTGGCTGGCGGCCATGTTTTTGATGCTACACGGAACCTGAAAATTACCCAAAATTAGGTTATTTTCACTCATCTCCCATGTTCCGTTCTATAAGCTAATTTTCAGTAAATCGGTTATTTGACTACGGCAAAAATAATTACTTACTCGTGAGTATGTTCTACCCAAAATTAAGTTCAATTTACTCAAATTTGAGAATATCTCATATACTCACTAGTAGCTTATTGAACGATAGTCATGAGAAAGTCAAATCTCTCGTTCCGTTCTTGACAACAACAAAAGGCAAAACTCAAAATTACCCAAAATTAAGTAAAAAGAACATAAATTTAGGTTATTTTTTTTTCACTGTGTATCATCTGCTCTTGTCTTTCTGCTTAAAACACGATTTTGCGTCCCTTTCCACCATGCCTACTGTCAAACGTATATGATTGATATGGGGTTGCCAGTCTCCTGATAGAGACAGAAGGTGAAGAAGAGCCACCGCAGCCAACTGAAGCTTGAACCAGATACCTGGGAATCCCACAATACCCGCGGCAACAGCCTTCCCCAAACATAATGTAATGTTATGCTGCCCGCCCACTTTCACCATTCCTCTTTCTTCCATTCACAATACCGATTCCATATACCAAACTTTCACTGCTAATCCCCGCACATCTGCTCCCAATCCTTGTGAACTCGTTTCTCAATCTCCAGGGAAAATTGCTGCTCTCGTTTCAAGTGATCTCCAGGGCAATTTGAAGAAGGAAGAACATTTTAGTAACCCAAAAAATGTCGTTTGGCTTATAGAACTTCGATATCTAGACTCCAGGCTGACATGACAAACTTTTAATACTGCGATTCTCCTGGTCGGGTACCTTGTATTGATATTTGTTTTTTTTTTCGACATGCTAAAATAACATTTAGGGGCTCACTTTTTGCAGGAGAGGCTTTGATTTTATACGAATTCATGATTTTATGAGATTTTGAACATTTAGATCATCAACATGTTAATGTTAATCTCATATTTTTTTCTACAATGTAGACGTATTGTAGAGCAATTCTGCTGAAAAAATATGGTTGCATTATCACCCTGCAATACTTTCGTCTCAAATGGCCATGTCCCACTTTTTTTTATTTCGTCCCACTGTGCGCTGGTCACATCCGGCCATGTTCCGGGAACCATCGGGGAAGTGTCCAGTTTCTTACTAGGGTCAAAATCCCTCATGTGATACCTCAAATCACATGAGAGTTCATCAGTCACCACACATCATATGAGCACTTTTTGCCGGAATTTCTATTGGTAAGAAAGGTCAGATCGCACCATAGGTGGATTATTTCGGATTTTTGTTTATCGTTATTCGGTCTGGATTTACTCAGTTAATAATAACAGCATTCGATATCGGTTCATGGTGGAATAACTCGAAAAACCAGATCTTTCAACCCCCTGGGGGTCCATTGTCATATACTAATCAACTCAAAACAATGAAATGTACCCACGGAGAGATCTTACGCAAACAGTGTCCTAGTTTCAGCTGAAGTAGCTCCGTCAAATTGTGTACCATCAAGTCACTTATCACCACCTAGATCGCTTGTATTACCAAAATTCCCCAACAATGACAAAACCGAACCTTCAAAGCATATCTTTTCTCATTATAGTTGCTGATTTTAACCGTTGGATTGTATCAAACGTATGGCCTAGCGACCGTACTCAACAATAAAGAACACATACTTTAGCGTTTATGTTAAGTACACATAGAATTGGGTTACCTGAGTTAAGTTATGGTTATGGGTTATCATAAGAAACAAAACGCTTATAGCCTAATTTGGCTAAACATTCTGCGAATACCTACACATTTCATGCTATTTGCTTGAAAAGAAAAGTTGCGAAATTTCCAATTACAGAAAACTACTAAAAACCACACATGAAGTCAACGATGAATTTTGTCAACATTTGGAATTTGCTATGAAGTTCCTCATTTACACATTCACACCGAAAATGAACTCAAAAGATGGCCTCATCAACATCATCATTCAGCACCATTGGGCAGCACATTGCTGGAGCTACGTCTTGCCACAACTTTAGTTCACGTTTCCTCATCTTCTCTTTCCTCGCACATCGCGCTCCTTCTGAACAGTTTAGCCGGTTTGGTACCAAGTTTAGACTGGATCAACGACGGTTGGCAACGACAAGGTGCAAACGACCGGTCGGCGACGATGCAATCCATGGCACCGCAGTCGACGCCACCATCATCAGCACGGCCAAACAGCTTCAGTTGGAAGAAATGCTATTAGAGATAATACAAATAGGCGTAATCGTTCTCCGCCAACATCGGGAGCCGTGAAGGTGAGTATAACGAATTTGGACATTTATACAACAACAACAAAAAAAACGTGAGCAAAAATGTATTACACGGTAAAAGAAACAAAACAAAAACTTGAAATACCTGGTAGGTAGTTTACATGATTTTTCTTTCCGCGAGAAAGAAGACAACGAAAAAAAAAGAACTTTTGTTGCTGTAGATCCCGTTTTAGGTTTTTCGTCCTGAGAATGTGTGAGCTTTATTATTTGTTGAATCAACATATTAAACTAAATCAGATGTTTTGAAAGAAGAGAAAAAAAAAGGTTGTTGGCACTTAAAATATCTAGCAGAATTGATAAAAATAATGTTTGGAAATTCTTTTGAAAATAAAGAAAGCTTTTCTCTCAGTGTGTCGTCAAAATTATTCACTGCAGTCAACTCTCCCGTACTCGAAATTGAAGTTGAACTCGAGTATCGAGTTTAGAAGAAATCGAGTAAGGAAGTGTTGACTGTACATTCAACAGTGCTACATTTTATGATTCGAAAAAAAAATACACGTAAATGGGCGCTGTTTGTACTTTGCAGCCCAAAGATAACTTTAGAAAAGTAACAAAATTTAAAATCTAAATTTAGTAAAATTTTAGCCTTATCATAGTGTCTAGATGAAAATTTTAAAGTTATGAGTGTTTGAGAGGAAAATTTTAACGGTAAAATATTTTTGGTAAGTACACACATACACATGAGTAGTACATCATTCGGGATTGTTCTTCTTTTCAAATAAAAATAAATAAATACAATTTAGGTCAGAACCAAGCAAACAAACAAACTACAAAGCCCGCACCACACAGACTGCCATACAGAGTTTAGGGAAACATTTAAATATATACAAACAAAGTTATACTGAGAGGGAGAGATAGAAATATGAAATAACTTCACAAACAGTTACACACTCGGATGGATTCTATTAAATTGAAGCTGGGTCGAAAAGTTCGTTTTCCGCGCAACAAATGTTTCTTTTCCTGGAAAGCTGTCCTCGATTCAGTTGCATGGATGTTTCTGAGTTTGTGCATGCTTTTAACGAATGAAATAAAAAAAAAATATTGAAACCGATTTCTAGTTGAAATAGGATTTTTGTTTGTATTTGATTTTCAATGCAAAAAAAAAAATAGTTACCTTACACCTCGAGATCATTCGAAGCAAAACAATTCAATATAGGGCTGTGTCAAAACTGGAAAGGTCTGTGCAACAAACCGGGACGAAAATTCGCTCCTCGAAAGAGTATGATGCGAGTGACAATTTTCCCAACTACAACAAAAAAAAAATACATCCTGCTGCAGGACATTTTTTACCCAGTGTGGATATGATGTTGATGAAACAGAATGAATTGATGATATTAATAAACATGGGAACATGAAACAGTACCCAAATTTTTTTTTTTAATTATTATTGTAGTGTCGAACCCCACAACAACGTCTTTGCTTTGTTTTAGCTATATTAATATACTGCCCTTATACACATAACTATCCTGTTTTCTGTGAAATTTTTATGAAACGTGGGACATTTATGCGTACATCGGTAGTATCACTTAGGATTTAAGTTTACATTTCTGTTGTTAGATTTGTCGTATCTTTTCGTTGTTGTGTACAACAGCAACAGCCCTAATTTAATATTGCTTAGGAAAAGTAAGCGTAAAACCTCTCGAGAAGCAAGGTCGAACTCCGAGTTCACTAGGGTTTAGAAGCATATAAATATAAAATCGTATATTGTTAGGCCCACAATTTTTGTTTGCAAATGGTTGTTAAGTTTAGTAACGAAGTAACCAAACAAGAATAGGATGCAAAAAGTATTCATAGAAAATTTGCAGAAATAGACACATACAACGATACAACAGTAAAACCGTCAGTAGCAAAGTCAATTTGAAAGAAAAAAAGGCTAACTTCTATTAAATAAAATAATTTAAATCTTGGTATCGATCGTATTTTGCTACTTCTATATGAATTAATTGTATTGGTGTATTTTCAGAAGCTAAAAATAAAGAATTCTGTCTGTATTGTGTTAAGTGAATCCGCCCGGGTTGGTTCGTTTGTTCTGGCATATTTGATTGTGAAATTCCGACTGACTGGGGACTGGATGATGTGCTACACTGAGGCAAATTAACATAAGCATATCATAAGGCTCGACTTATGAACGAAACATATGAATTTCATAAGCGTAACTACGCCTTTAACCATTTCATTATACCAGGCGTAGAAAGACGAGACCCTTTGATCTCAACGTCCATGGTTCGGTTCCAGTCTGCTCCGTTTTATTATTTTTTCGTTAACATTATTTTTCATAAGGCAATTCATACCGATTTCTTGTGACTAAAATTCATAAGTGGTTCTTATGGAATTCTTACGTTTTTTTCCTCCGTGTAGATTACCCCATACATTGTATATCTACTTTACTACCAAGTCCCAGAGAGCGGAAAAATTAAAATCCACCGGAGAAAATATTTCAAATAAATTTCCTGAAGTTCAAAAACGATCAGTTGGTTTCAGTGAAATTACGAGCGGCACAAAGAACTTCATTGTTGCTTAGAAAATTTCAGAAATTACAAGTCTTAGGAAACACGTCAATGATTTTTTGGTGAATTGGGTGCTTAAAATTTTGAAAAATATATCGGTTACTATACATCATCTCAAGAGCAAATTTTCATTACGTCGAAAGTAACAAAGGTAAACAAAGTCGAGCTATCAGTATCAATCGATGCTCTATATGTCACTATACTGTCCGAATATAGGATACCATCCCATTTTTAAATTTATGTACCAGTCAAATTGCTTTTTGACGTAATCACCTTCCGTTCAAAATATTTTTCGATGTTACTTAAGTCACCCGATGTCTATGGAGATGCCGTTTGTCTTAAGTAATATCGCTTTCTTATTATTAAAGTGAATAAATCGAACTGTTTGTTGCTAAGATGATTTCGCTGGTCCTAAAATGATGAATGGAGACGTGATTGATTATTCTCCCGAATATCCTGGTAAATACACTTTGACTTAAGTTACATTAGGGGGCCACTAAGCGAAGTATAATAACTGTTGACTCAGAACCAGTATTTTTAGCATGAAAGCTAGCACTCTGCTTTGTATGTTTTAAACCCTGCTCAATATGTTAAACATTGCTATCACTATGAGATTCTTTGTGTTTAATTGGAAATAGGAATAACTTTTCGGTCCTCAAAACAAAACATTATTTTTCTCGGATCGGTGTGATTGTTGCTTTAGACATAATGCAAATTTGCTATTGTTCTGAAAGAGCTTCATTTTCTGAGCACAATGATACTTTTGTTCGATTCCATTGACTTTCACCTCAAGTGATCAAGATTTCCTCAAGTTAAAATCAAATCAAGATTTACCTTACTTACTTACCTTACCAATCAGGCTAAGGACTTGTTGTCCTCTGCTGTCCGAAGAAGTCGTGTCCACTCTACTCGATCCATGGCCACAGTTCGCCAGCCTCGTAGTCTGTGAAGGGTCCGCAGGTCACCTTCTACTTGGTCGATCCACCTTGCCCGCTGCGTGCCTCTTCTTCTTGTTCCTGTTGGGTCGCTTTCTAGAACCATTTTCACTGGGTCGTCGTGCGGCATTCTTACGACGTGCCCAGCCCACCGTAGTCGCCCAAGTTTTGCAATGTGGACGATGGATGGTTCTCCCAGCAACTGGTGCAATTCGTGGTTCATTCGCCTCCTCCACGTTCCGTCATCCATCTGCACTCCACCGTAGATGGTACGCAACACCTTCCGTTCGAAAACACCACGAGCATAGTCCAGATCTCGTGGCCGTAAAGGACCACCGGTCTAATCAGCGTCTTGTAGACAGTCAACTTAGTGCGGCGGCGAATTTTATTCGACCGGAGCGTCCTCCGGAATCCAAAGTAGGCACGATTCCCTGCCATAATGCGTCTTTGAATTTCTCTGCTGGTATCATTTTCGGCGGTCACCAGTGAGCCCAAATACACGAACTCATCGACCACCTCGATTTCGTCACCGTCAATATGAACTCGGGGTGGGAGGCTAACATTGTCTTGCCTAGAACTTCTTCCTTTCATGTATTTTGTCTTTGATGCGTTGATGGCAAGTCCAATCCGTCCAGCTTCAGCCTTCAGTCTGATGTACGTTTCCGCCATCATCTCAAAGTTCCTTGCCATAATGTCAATGTCATCGGCGAAGCCAAGGAGCTGGATGGACTTCCTGAATATCGTGCCACTCGTGTCTATCCCAGCTCTTCTGATCACACCTTCTAACGCAATGTTGAACAGCAGACACGAAAGTCCATCACCCTGCCGTAACCCCCATCGAGGTTTAAAGGGACTCGAGAGTGTCCCCGATACTCGAACAACGCACATCACTCGATCCATCGTCGCCTTGACCAATCGCGTCAGTTTATCCGGAAGTCCGTACTCGTGCACAATCTGCCATAGCCGATCTCGATCGATTGTGTCGTATGCGGATTTGAAATCGATGAACAAATGATGTGTGTATTCGCGGCATTTCTACAGAACCTGCCGAATCGTGAAAATTTGGTCCGTGGTAGCGCGGGCACCCATGAATTCCGTCTGGTTTTGGTAACTCTGGTCACCATTTGCAGGCGGCAGCACAGAATTTAGGAGAGTACCTTGCAGGCGGCGCTCAGCAGTGTGATCGCGCGGTAGTTGCAGCAATCCAACTTGTCGCCCTTTTTGTAGATTGGGCATACGACATCTTCCATCCACTCCTCCGGTAATATCTCCTCCTCCCAAATCTTGGCAATTACCCTGTGCAGCGCTCTAGCCAGTGCTTCACCACCGTATTTTAAGAGCTCACTTGGTAGTTGATCTACACCAGTTGCTTTGTTGTTCTTCAGCCGACCGATCTCCTCATTAACTTCTTGAAGATCGGGGGCCGGTAGCCTGTCGTCTTCTGCGCGTGCTCCAAGGTCTGTTGCCGTGCCACCTTCGTTTTCTGCTGCTTCACCGTTGAGGTGCTCGTCATAGTACTGCTTCCACCTCTTAATCACCTCACACTCGTTCGTGAGAAGGTTACCGTCCAAGTCCTTGCACATATCGGCTTGCGGCACGTAGCCTTTGCGCGAACTATTTAACTTCTCGTAGAACTTCCGTGTGTCGTTTACGCGGTACAGATTTTCCATCGCCTCACGATCTCGGTCTTCCTGCTGACGCTTCTTCTTTCGGAAAACCGAGTTTTGTCTGTTCCGCGCTTGTCTGTATCGCTCCACATTCAATCTCGTGCGGTGTTGCAGCATTCTCGCCCGTGCTGCATTCTTCTCCTCTATTAACAGCTTGCATTCGCCGTCGAACCAGTCATTTCTTCGGTCCGGGATTGCAGTACTTAGTGCCGCTGCAGCAGTACTACCTATGGCTGAACGGATGTCCCTCCAGCCATCTTCAAGAGAAGCTGCGCCAAGCTGCTCTTCCTTGGGTACCCGCATAAACGCGAACCATAAATTGACCTTACCTAAAATGGTTAAAAATTGTTTATAATCCCTGCTAAACTTTAACTGAAATGGTTATGGAACTTTACATGAACGTTTAATGATAAAATTTCAACCTTATGTATTATGGTTTTTTGGAACTGGACCTTACAAATAATGGGTTGTTAAGAACCATTACCGTTCCAAATTCTTGTTTTCTCCATACATTTTCGGAAAGAGAACTATATTAGAACCTTTTAACTTATGGTTTGAGAACTTTAATGGTAATGGTTATGGTAGTCATTAAGGTCCACGAATGGTTTTGTAACATCGATCCACTTTATGTGGAATATATCGTGAATTGGTAATCAGTAAATTACAGGCAACCAATTCGCGATATATTCCACATAAAGTTGATCGATGTTACAAAACCATTCGTGGACCTTACTGACTACCATAACCATTACCATTAAAGTTCTCAAACCATAAGTTAAAAGGTTCTAATATAGTTCTCTTTCCGAAAATGTATGGAGAAAACAAGAATTTGGAACGGTAATGGTTCTTAACAACCCATTATTTGTAAGGTCCAGTTCCAAAAAACCATAATACATAAGGTTGAAACTTTATCATTAAACGTCCATGTAAAGTTCCATAACCATTTCAGTTAAAGTTTAGCAGGGATTATAAACAATTTTTAACCATTTTAGGTAAGGTCAATTAATGGTTCGCGTTTATGCGGGTAGTGCAACTTCCAGCTGCTGCGCGTAGTCCTGGGCAACTCCGGCGTCCCGTAGTTGCTCAATGTTGGGTCGCGGCGTTCGACTTCAACGGGTGTTATGCACCGTCGAGAGTTTTGAGCGCATGAATACTGCAACTAGGTCCAAATCTATGTTCGCATTGCCGGTACGTTGATAATGTCGGAGAAGAATTTCCTGTCGATTAGAACGTGATCGATTTGGTTTTCTGTGTGTTGGTCAGGTGATCTCAAGATGGCTTTGTGATTATCCTTGCGGGGGAAAAAGATACTTCGAACTACCATACCCCGAGAGGCTGCAAAGTTCACGCATCGTTGCCCGTTGTCGTTCGATACGGCATGCAGGCTGTTTGGCCCGATTGCCGGTCTATACATTGCCTCCCGTCCTACCTGAGCGTTCATGTTGTCGATGACGATTTTGACGTCCCGTTGCGAACAGCCGTCGTACACCTGCTCCAGCTGCGCATAGAACGCTTCTTTCACGTCGTCGGGTCTCCCTTCGTGTGGGCAGTGCACGTTGATGATGCTGTAGTTGAAGAAACGGCCCTTAATCCTCAACTTGCATCCTCGCGTTAATCAGCTGCCAACCAATCACGCGTTGGCGCATCTTACCCAGCACTACAAAGCCGGTTCCCAGCTCGTTGGTGGTGCCACAGCTCTGGTAGAAAGTAGTCGCTCGATGCCCACTTTTCCATACCTTTTGTCCCGTCCAGCAAAGTTCCTGCAGTGCTACGACTTCGAAGTTGCGTGGTTGAAGTTCGTCATAGATTAACCTATCGCAACCCGGGAAGCCGAGAGATTTGCAGTTCCATGTTCCGAGTTTCCAATCGTAGTTCTTATTTCGTCG